ATACTATTGTGGTAGAGGTAGTAGACGTGTTAGCAGAAATGGGGATTAGGATTTGAAGATAACATTCAAAAAGTATAACCCAGTGAAATAAACTTAAAAAGAGAGAAACGGTCATGAGGACTTTATGAGATAAGAATTTGTAAGAAGACAAAGAACGGATGCATCTGTGCCACTGTAAGCGATTTTGAGCCATGTGCAGTACACTTGTACTTTGGCCATCACCACTGATGAGACTCCCCAGATAAGTGAAGCGGTCAACACGTTCGGCTACTTCACTCCCCATCACTAGTTCATGTGTCGATGCAACCCAGCCTTCAAGCAACATTTTGCATTTTGAGGGTAAGCCCCACATCCCGAACATGCTTTCATTGTTGCTTAGGTTGGTCAGAAGACTCTGCATTTTGTCAGCGTCTTCACCGAATAGGACTATGTCATCAGCATATTCTAAGTCAGCAAGCGATTTTCCTGGTAGAAAGTCGACCACTGAAAAGTTGGACGAGGATAAGGTTATTTCTAGCAGCATGTCTTTGACAAAATTAAACAATAATGGGGAAAGTGGACATCCTTCGCGGACATCACTTGAAGCGAAGAATTCCGATGAAAGTTCGCCATATGCTCTCACTCGACCAGTATTTTTACAGTAGAGAGCTTGTATAAGGTTAATGTACTTTTTTAGTACACCTTTTAACGACAGACACTGCCACAGAACCTCACGATCAACAGAGTCGAATGTCGCTTTAAGGTCGAGAAATACTACTATTGTAGGGCGTCTGAATGTGTCTTTGTTCTAGGACCTGACGTAGTCTGAATATTTGGTCTATACATCCACGTCCAGGTCGAAAAGCAGCCTGATTGTCTCACGTCTGCTCTTGACGAGCTTTCGTTAGGCATCGGATTATTATTGAGGACAATATTATCAACACCATATTAGTTAGACTGATTCCTCTGTGATTGTCACAAGAGGACTTTTGTCCTTTCTCATAAATTGGATCAATCAGTGATTGAGACCAGTTGGATGGTATTACTCTCACTTCCCATATTCTACCTAAGATTTCAGTCAATCTAACTGCTAAAACTGGACCACTATACTTAAAAATCTCCGGGGTAAATCTCTCAGATCCTGCTGCTCTCCCTTACTATAACCTCTTCAAATTCATACAGATTCGGAGCGCTAGCCACTCTGGATGACTGGAAATCTCGGGCAACCGATGTGTTTCTGAATGCCGGCTGAACTGGTCCCTAAATTGTTCTCCCCATCGATCCTATCTCCTGGATTGAGAATGAATGATAAGGACATCCGTTTCGAAAACAGTCTCACTGTCAAGCTTCATTAGGTGAATTCCGACTGTAGGATGTGTTTAAGGAATAAAATAATATTTATATTCAACCTTCATCGTGAAATCACTTCCCTGAAATGGGAAACCTATGTTTTTTACGGCCAAATGTACAGCTACAATTTGACGTTCAAAGTTTCGAAATTATGATTGATATGTTAACCAGCGTCCAGAAAATAAGCTTGAGTCGTCGTAGAGCGTTCCCAATTGCAGTCTTCGAAGTGTCTGCTCACAAGATGATTTTATTTGTATGGTTGAGTCCATAGTTTGGAGCTCTGAAAACTGCTCAGGCTACAGGTCAGAAGCTGAAATCTATATTTTTTGTCATACATCATGACAAAGTCAATTAGAGGCTGTATCACTTCATTGTAAGGTACGAAACAGTGATAGAAATTAAATGCGCAAAAGACTCTTCACAACATTTTGACTCAAGTCGTTTCTCAACAGCTGTTAACTGCTGCAACCTTCACTTACAATGACTTGATATCGTGTCACTTAGGACGGTGTTAGTGACAATCCAAAACAGAATCACGTGTTACAAATTTTGGTGGATTGATGGCAACCCAAATTCCAAACAAGAAGTGACGGTGCATGTTTACCTTTCAGGGAGCTGGCGAAAAGAACATCACCGATATGGACAGATCCAAAATCTAATCCTCTTGAAACTCCGTTCATAAATCTCCGGAGTGTTTGAGCATTGTCTCTCAGTGTGAACTCTCATAAGACGAAACGTATTATGATGACCATGTTTTCAATATCCTCTAGAGCCATCGGAGTTGATGATATGTCTTATAATTCCAGCTTTCAGAAAGCAATTTCTTCATGCAGTATCAGACGGGATTGTGTATCATGGAGAAGCCAAGGGGATGCTGGATTGTCTTATGATGTCAAGTCGTATCATTTAGCTTGACTCCATTTTAGCTATCTTCAACTTATTGGAGTGTAACCTGCAATATAACCTCGTAGTATTTATATAGCGGTTTGTGCTGTGTGATACTAGGTCAATTAGTAACATGTATCAGGAATAGGTCTCACCTGCACCTGAACTATTGGTAGGAAATAAAGTAGTCGAGCGTGTAGACCGCTTCACTTATCTCCGGATTCTCATCAATTCTTTTGGCCTGTTGACTGACGAAATATCATCAAGGATAAGAAAGGCACGATCGGCTTTTGCCAACCTTCGTCACCTATGGAGTCAGAGAGATATCTGTCTGCTAACAAAAGGACGAGTGTACTGCACAGCAGTACACGGGTTTGAAACATGGCCAATAAAAGTAGAGGATATTCTTGGGTTACTGAGTTTTGATCATAGGAGTCTTCGAAGCATTGCCCGTATATACTGAGACAACCGAGTAAGCCATTCTATAGTTAAGAAACGAGTACCAGTTAATAATAACAAATCAGTTGGTGAAGTGGTAAATCTTCATCAGTTGAGGTGGTTGAGAAGTGTGCTACAAATCTGCAACTACTGACTGTCTCGACGAGCAATGTTTTGTTGTGTAGGAGTAGGTTGGTAGAAAGCTAGGTGCAGCCAAACCAAAACGTGACAGAAATCCATGAAGTCATTGACAAGTGGACTGAGTCTTGTTGGTAGATGTAGGATACCTGGTTGATGTCCGCTAGACGAAAGTCATCGATGGTTAGAGAACTTGAATGACATGGCTCAGAATCGTTTGCAATCGCTCAGATGCATTCATTCTTCGAATTCTCTCAAAGCCTCGTTGCCTCGTTATTAAAAATTTGGCTGTACCAAATTGTTCCAGTCAGTAACATGATATAAATGTACCTTCAGAAAACGACTCTTATTTCTAATCTAACTGCTCTAACTTAAACAAAAAGTGTGGTACCAGTTGATCTAGCCTGTAAACCGGCATGCCTCTAGTAACACGCTGTTATTTTAGAATAAATACATTATTATTATCTTCTGAATTCCTCATCAGCTTAAACTTCTCTTTCTGTATTTATCGCACTGAATTATACTTCTTGAATCATACCTTCGAACCATAATCTCCTCCACTGCCATCAATACTTCTACTACCTCTACTACTAGGGGATTCGTTTGACAATGGCATCTCTGTGCTAATACGGTTTGACAACATGATCTGATGTGTAAATTTGCACGGTCTGGTATATTTTTTGCTTTGTTGCTGTATTCCTGGTGATTCTAGCATATTAGCGCAACTGGTCTAGGTGAGTAAGAATAAGATAGGTCATTCTGTCTTCTTCGGGACAGTGATCGAGGTTTTTCACAGAATTTAAGAGGCTGCCAATGGAGTGCTTTCATTTCTCTCGTACATATCCCTTCAGGTGTTTATGACGTGTCTAAACTATGACAACTGAGACAAACTTCCATCATCTTATATCACATGTCTGCTAAACCATCAACTGTGACTGATCCATCTCAGACACTCAGAACCTTTTGTGCGCCATTTGACGACCATTTTAAGCACATTAACCGTAACACCTCTTCTTCCAATTTATATGAACCTACTAATTATTCGATATATCTCGGAAGTAGTGGTGGTTTTCTGTCGCACAAATCACACAAGTTCTATCTGTATAAACCAAATAAGGAGATTGTTTACTCCCTATAAAAGAAGTCTGAACTCAGATTTGCCATTCACTCGGATCAACGTTAGTTCAAGTATTGCGATGTAATTGGTGGAAGCTTTCTCAATCCTATAATTAACGTCTTCATTATCGCTAAATGTGTATGTTTTATAGGAATAACAAAAATAATAGTCAAAACGATCAGAAGAATCATAACGAAATGTGAGCTATATTGCAATAGGAACGGTATATGAAATAAGGACGGTGATTCACCAAATAATTAAAGTGGACCAAAACTTTATCTTAATTAAAACGTTGATAAGGTCATCACAAAAAATATATAAAGACAATGAATGATACACATATATAAAAGACACATACAAAAATATAAGGGAAGTAACTTTAACCATCAGAAGGTTGCATGTTTAATTTCGGCCCTGCATGTCTTCTCTTCATCGCTATTTAGAGTATATGGAAATTTTGGTGGATCTACATTGGAACAACACACTACTATGCTGCAGTGCCGATCTTTGTTGTAGTTGTAATATCCTAGTGCATTACCAACATAAAACTTGGTGTGACTGACTATTCCTAATTGCCGTACCAGAAACAGCAGTGGAGGTAAACAGATGCACAAAATTTATAGATCTCTAAGTCTTTGACATTGATGATGATAAGGGTCATCTGGGTCCGCTCTACTACACGTCCTCTTGCGCCAACTACCCAGCTAAGATCACTCACTTCTCAACATTCCAACTATCGAATATACCATCCATCTCCTTTATTCCTAACTTATGGTTTGATTGAGGCCTTGGTGTTATTAGTAAGAAGAGTGTTACGGATAAAGACTTATCTAACCCTTAGTATCCGTGACACTGAAATAGTTGGAAAACGTCATGAAACTGTTTTATTTAACAATTAAAACAAGTTTAATTCACTGATATAGAGAATACAAGCTCTTCAAACAAATGCTTCAACAAGCACTCTGCAACCATATGAACAGTTTGATGCATCACGTTTCCCTAATAGGTATTTAAAAAGTTGCCATTTACATTTGCACTATAGTTTCCTCACCCTATCAGTGTGAAGTCGAAAATAATACTGTCAATTTTATTGTTTTGTTTATTTAATTAACTGGTCTAAGGCGCTTGTCGTGATTTGGTGTGCTACTGATGTCTATTCAAAATCTCCAGACCTATGGTAGGTTACACGAGGCAGCGATCACTTCCTGTGTTTAGACCCATTTGCAGAAGAAGGTGAGTCAAATGCGGAAGGTAGGACTGTCCATATTCGGATACAACAACGAAATGGCCGCAAAACGCTCACTACAGTCCAAGGGATCCCTGAAAAGTTTGACAAGCGAAAAATCTTGAAGTACTGCAAGAAACATTTTGCATGTAACGGTACAGTAGTTGAACATGAAGAGTATGGAGAGGTTTTACAGTTCCAAGGTGATCAAAGAGATAATCTCAAATCCTTTTTGTGTGAGATGAACATAGTCGCACCTGAGGAAGTCAAACTGCACGGTTTTTAAGTGCATGTTGACATCCCATTTGTGATCATTCCAGAGGTTACTACTTTACAGATACCATCTCTTGCATGAAAGTATCACATGTATATTTTCCTGCATTCGCATTTTCAGCTATCATATATCAAGTTCTGAAACCCTATTAACTTTGAGTAACTTCTGCCATCTCTGGATAATATAAAAAACAAATTGTTACAACTCTATTCTAATAGATCTACTTAACTAACACATGTTTCTGTTTTAGACTCGTAGCGTTTATATGTATACCCCCTCCCTCGAAAATTAATATATCACTTCAACTTACCAACATTTATACTCAGGATAATAATCAACTTTCGGTCTCAATTGTCAGTCTATATGCTAGTTGAAAGTGTTCACTCAGTTCCTAACTCATATTGGTACTTTCAACGATCACAAATAAGTTTGTTATTCGTAGTGTTCGGACCTCATATCTGCAAGATGTTCGCTCGCCAACCAAGGAAAATATACGTTGAATAACAATTCACCCTGTTCATCTATAAAGCTAAAGGAAATATGTAGGTCTCAGTCGTCTGGTCATGTCTATGAAGCATTACTCGTTTATTGTGGAATAACCGATTAAGCAATAGTGAGGTCAAACTAAGTACTAGAATTAAATGGCAAGCTAGTTATAAAGTTGTGAACCTTCGACGACTGGAGCATGCATTATACATATCTATTTACTTACCTCGATACATTGTTTGCTTGGATAGAAGTAAGTTAATATGATGCTAGAAATGACCAGACACTTCATCAGTTCATAAAATTACCGACTGTTGGCCTGGATTATGTTGGTTGGAAAAGACCAACTGGTTGGTGTTTACGCGATCAGCAATCAATTTGACTGAGAATGGACCGAAATGACTTAGGTGCCCCTCACTTAGCGTCTTAATATCTACTGCTCCTTCAATATATTCTCATTGCATCTCAATCCACATCCAATGTTTGATTTTTCTCATGATCATCATTACAACAATTATTTCAAATCATTTGTTATCTCTGAGACAATTCATCTTTCAGTTTAGCTCTATGAACTACGGTAATTAGTTTTAATGGAACAATATGCAGTGTATATACTGAAATATTAAAGTTAGTCCTAAACTATAACTGTCCAGTTTCGTAACACGACCGCCCAGGTTTTTAACGTTCGCTGTTATTGTTTTCAGCCACCTTGGTCCCCAATTTCGTTCGATAGGTCTCACCGCTTGGTTTGAGGCTTACTTAAACCCAGATAAAACCCAACGTTCCACAGTAAACTCATAAATGTTATGTGGATAATCATGATTGGAATCCTGATTTCCACGTAAATTCTTTCATTCTAATGTTTATATGAACTGTTTCCTGTTTTTACTGGTCATCTCAGTGTAGTCTCCAAAAAAGCATGTTTTGGTCATCATCAACAGCAATGTATAACTTTGCACGTAAGTTTCATCGGTTCAAACTGCCATACCCTATTAGCAAAAAGATGCAATTGCCAATTCAAATCCTATAGTAGTAGAGATAGTAGAATTAGCGGTAATAAGGAAGATTAGGGTTCGAAGAGCTTATTCGAGAAGTATAATTCAGTGAGGTAAATTTTGAAGGTGATGAGGAATTCAGGTTAGGACTTGGGAGAACGTAAAGTACGTATGAAATGGTTTTGAACTATATCACTCAGGGTCTCTAATCATCGATTATTATCATCTCGCGGACCCCAGCCAGGTAGTCGACACCTACCAACATGACTCAGTCCACTTGTCAGTGACTTCATGGATTTGTGCCATGTTTTGGTTTGGCCACTCCTAGCTTTCGTCCAAATTATTCCTATATCGCGAAACATTTCTCGACGAGGCAGTCGGTGGTTAGGCATACGCAACACATGTCCCAACCACCTCAACTGATGAAGTTTCACTACATCTATTGACCTGCCATCCTTATCTAGGACCCATTTTCTAACAACAGCATTACTTACTCGGTTGTCCCACGATACTTGAGCAATGCTTCGAGGACATTTATGATCAAAAACCAGTAACCTAAGAATAATTACTATGATTGACCATGTTTCACAGGCATAGTTTAGGACGGAGCGAACTACTGCGCAGTACACTCGTCCTCTAGTTAGCAAACGGATATGTCGACTTAAACATGGATGAACCATGCTGTTGCTATGGTGGGTGCTGCTCCTCCTGTGGCATATTACTGTTGTCCAGTTACTCTTAGATTCGGACACGTGCTCACTAGTGTATCTAACTAAAACTAAGGCGTGCAACAAACCATAAACTTATTAATTCCCAAAACGTGTTATGTTAGGACATACCGATTTACCAGACGCCGACTGCTACGCAGTTATAGCTTTGGATGATCACCTTAATTGATAGGGCTCAAAATTGACTCCAGTAACGTGAATGCATTCAGTAGTCTTTTGAAATGTACGTCATACATTTGGTTTATCAATAACACTCCTTTGTTTTATCTTCTTTGCGTTTCATATTTATAGACTTCTCTTGCTAATAATGGTGTAAAGTATGGAGACTTAGACCAAAGTGTAATTCTTCCCGTCATATGTTGTTTGTCGCTGACAACTTAACCGAATACATTATGTTTGGAAAAAGACTATATAGTATAGCTTAATCATAACACTCATCCAAAGGTGGTTCGACATAACTTACCTCCTCTATATCGCGACAGTAGCTGCTACCTTGATGTGGTGGTCAGTCTTGCCTATCGTGATGACCTAACCTATCTATATTGGCTGGAACACATGTTCTTGTAGGTTCTACCATGCCAGGCAGGTCGATTGAAGAACGACGAAACTATAAACTACTCAAGGCCTGAGGGTGAAGTCGTACTGCTGACTGTAGATGGGTGTGACAACAGTAAGGTGTTTCCCTCGGACAACCAGCATCTTCAGCAATGCTGCCTCCTCACGAGGAAGTAAGCGTTAGAAAACGTCTACCCTACAAATAGGGCAGCAGCCTTCTGTAGCTAGGACACTAGAGTTTCGTGCCACAGCATTCGGTAGAGGACTGTCACTCATTCTGGGGCGCATGTTTACATTCAGATCATGCTCTAGTGCGAGCGCGTATTTGTCTGAGGCTTACTGGACGTAGGAAAGACACCGTAAAGAAACCTGTTAGGGTTCTACTGAATAAAAATCAAGCTAAGAACGTATTTCAGGAACAACTAGAAAAACAGTTAGGCGACCTTGTAGGTGATTCCCATCCGGAGGTATCTTGTAATGATATCAAAAAGGCTGTGGAAACAGCAGTGATATCTGCTAGCAAGGTAAACCATAAGGCTCGAATGAAGCCGTGGTTCGCAGTAGCATCCAGCGAACTTATAGACACTTGTAAAGTCATCCGGTCTACCTCCGAACATAACGAAATCAGCTTAAGTGCAGGCTGATAAAAAGCATACGCAATAATCGCGATCAGTGGTGGGTGGCGAAAGCAAAAGCGATGGAAAAGGCAGAGGCGATAGGCAACAGTAGACAACTTTTCCGACTTATCAAGGAAACTGGTATTAGAAATCCTACTGTAAGTGAGACTATCTCGGAAATGGATGGCCTTATCATTCATTCTCAATCCAGGAGATTGGACCGATGGACAGAACACTTTAGGGACCAGTTCAACTGGTCTTCAGCCACACTACCGTTGCCCACAATCCCCAGTCATCCTGAATGGCAAATCGATTTAACTCCTCCGAGTCTACATGAAGTTGAGAAAGCTATAGGAAATCTGAAGAGTGACAGAGCAGCGGGTACTTATAGGCTTACCCCTGAGCGCTCCGAATCTGTATGAAGTTGAAGAGGTTATAGTAAGGGAGAGCAGCAGGATCTGAGAGATTTACCCCGGAGATTTTTAAGTATAGTGGTCCAGTTTTAGCAGTTAGATTGACTGAAATCTTAGGTAGAATATGGGAAGTGAGAGTAATACCATCCAACTGGTCTCAATCACTGATTGATCCAATTTATGAGAAAGGACAAAAGTCTTGTGAAAATCACAGAGGAATCAGTCTAACTAATATAGTGTCGAGAATATTGGCCTCAATAATAATCCGATGCCTAACGAAAGCTCGTCAAGAGCAGACGCAAGACAACCAGGCTGGTTTTCGACCTGGACGTGGATGTATAGACCACATCTTCACACTACGTCAGGTCCTAGAACAAAGACACATTCAGACGCCCTACAATAGTAGTATTTCTCGACCTTAAAGCGACATTCGACTCTGTTGATCGTGAGGTTCTGTGGCAGTGTCTGTCATTGAAAGAAGAACCAGAGAAGTCCATCAATCTTATACAAGCACTTTATTCGAAGAATATTGGCCGAGTTAGAGCCTTTGGCGAACTGTCTACTATCTACAGTCAACCTGAATGGCAAATTTATATCAATATTTCAACTCAATGTGATTGCAAAGTCTATTGACAATCTCATGTGAGGAGGAAATGCAGAACCTGACAAGTTTATAATTTCTAATGAATTTTTTGGAAAAACGTATTTCGTAAACAATATTTCTGCTACAATGCCGTACTCATATTCGATCCGTAGACAACTACGAAAGTTTTGGAGACTAGAATATGTAATGTTCTAGATCCTCTTGCAATAAATAATGCTCTAGCAAGTTCAGCTTTCTACGTATCAAATTGCACTGATTATGAATTACATCTTTGTATTTAGAAAAATAACTAAATATACTTGTTATTTCGTTGAATACGATGTTTGTATATGGTGAAGCCATATCTCAACAAACAATTATTTCATAAAAGTTATCTAACTGATCCAAATAATAACCCCCATATATTTTAAACGAAAGATAATTTATTCGCTTCTGACAAATATCAGTTTGGTCTCTTATGAGCAACAACAAAATACCTCCATAAAATTATGTTTTAGAGAAGTAACAAACTTATCCCATTTGGATTCGTCGTCAGTAAATCAAAATCATAAGCTCCTTGACTTAAGTTAGTAGTACGTTTGAGTATCATTAAAATTGTTTTGATCCAATAAAGTGTTTTTCAACAAAGCTTTCTCATGTCAAACAATTGATAGAAATTACCATCAGGGATTTCTACACATTAATGGTACGTGTAGTATGTAGTCAGTAGTAGCACTACAATTCAGGCTCGAATCGACTGCACAACTGGAACATATTTGTTCCAGTCTAGTCGGACTGCTTTTCAACTGGAAACTTTCAAGTTTGACGTGAAGATGATGAGTAGGTACCTCAGTATTGGAATACGATTGAGTGATCAACGAAGTAAACAGTTATTCAAACGCTTTAATGCTGGATTCGTGACGGAATAA